AAAATAAATTATAACATTCTGCATATTTTTAAGTTAATCTGATTCAAATTTTCAAGTCCATCTCGGAAGTTCTATTCCTATTAAATGCTGTAAACCAGTGATTCTCAAAGTTTTTGAAATCGGGGCGCACTTGAAATCCTACCAATAATTGTAGGCGCACTATATACAAATTTAGGAAAAATATGTTATAATGAAGTCAAATATTGCTAAAAAGACATAATGCCATCAAAAATATAAAATGAAACATAACTTGTGATTATGAGAAGCATGAGCCTGATGAATCTCAGCGATTTCTTCAATGTTTGGGCGTATATTTGATAGGCAAACTCTCATTTCCTCCTCAATACATTGAAGAGTTCCTCTTTTTTGCACTTAATTGTGGTAAGAGCAGAACAGCCTAACTCACATAAATATGAACGAGATGGATACCGAAATATAATAAAGTAACTATATTTATTTCTTATATCTGAACATGTATTTGTCTGAAATGCCAGGGCTCACTTAGACATCTTCCCAAGCGCACAATTTGAGAACCACTGCTGTAAACAATCAGTGAAACGTCAAATATGAACTTTTAAACCAAACCAAGTATGACACGAATGAATTGAAATATTTAACTGAATCATAATAAAATTATTTTTAATTTCAATGGAATGTTGAAATCAACTTTAATATTTTATAACTTGAACCGTCAGTGAACCCAAAGGGTCACGGATAGTCTAGTATCAAATAAAAATGCGATAAAGAAACGAACCCAGATATGAACACCGTTTTAGTAATAAAAAGGACTAAGAACTTTATAAAATCATTTGTACATTATCAGTTACTCAAGTCCAATGTGAGAGAACATTTTCAAACCTAAAGATCATAAAGACAAGGTTAAAAAATTCTGGAATCGTACATGTTGCTATCCATTGAAAAAGAATGGCTTGATGTTTAGGATGAAGACGCAATTATTGACAGATTTGCACAATCATCCCGTGAACACAAATGAAACGATTGCTCTTAATATAGTGAACTGCATGCAATGCTCTATTCTGCTTTTGAACTATTTGTTAATGTGTAAATTGTGCAGTAAACTACTTCAAAATATCAAGTAATTACTTAAAATTAAAAGAAGTAAACAATTCAATTATAACATCTGCATTTATATTTTATATCTACTAGCTGTAATAGGGCGATTTTCTAAGCGTAGCTTAGATGTGGCACAAGTCTAAAAGCTAGTGAGGATTTCAGACTATCCAATGAAAGAGTCTACTCAAATTAGAAATAGTCCCATGTCGCGATAATACTTCAGCCACCATGCCTCCAATTTTAATCTCATTTGTGTAGCTGTTAGCTCACAAGGAACATCATCTTGTACACTTTCAAAAATATCTCTTCTTAATGTTTCTGGTGTTACTATCACATATCCATTGCTTATAACGCCGTTTTTCATTGTTAATTTATGTCTTATTTCTTTATAAGGTCAATCAGTTTTGGAAGAATTACTCCACCTGTTTCTTATTCTTTCAGCAATCTTATCTAATATCAGATCATGTAAATTTTTCGATGCCAATCTTTGTCGAGATAATATGTCAGTTTCAACCCAATGTAAGATTTCTTCATTCGGTGTTTCCATTTTTTTTCTTTTTCATCCTTAAATTATAACCTTGACAGCGCATCGACATCTTGTATTTTATTTCCTTTTACGTACACAATGTCAAAATTATATGCAAATAATTCTATTGCCCACCTTAGAATACTGGCAGGTGTAACGCCTTTCTAGGGTTAAAAATAAAGTCTAGAGATTTATGGTCCGACTTTAATAGAAACTTATTGCCTAATAAGAATTGTTGAGCTCTGTCTGGGCTCCGGACAATGGCTAGTGACTCTTTTTCAATATTTGAATAATTTATTTCTGCTGCCGTCAATCTTCTTGAAAGGTACTCTATTGGATGGCCTTCTTGCAATAAAATTGCTGACACAGCTTGCTCACTCGTATCCGTAATTAACCTAACCTTCTTTCTGGGATCAAACATTTTTACAGTGGGTTTTTCTGCGAGTATCTCTTTTAAATCCTTCAACGCTAAGCTTTGTCTTTGAGCCCATTTGAACTCAATATTCTTTTTCAGCAAATGGTTCTATTAAGTCACTGTATTTTGGTAGTTATCTATTATAAAAATTAACCAATCCTAAAAAGTATTCTAATTCTTTTTTATTAGTAGGTATAGATAACTCTGAAACTTTCTTAATTAAGTAGAGTTTCCAATACCAGTTTTTGTAGAGATAATAAATCAGTTTCAACTCAATGTAATATTTCTTCATCCTGAATTTCCATTTTTTTTTTCTTTTTCATCCTTATCAATTTGTAACCTTGACAGCGCTTCGATGTGTGGTATTGTATTTCCTTTTACGTACTCAATGTCAAAATCATAATTTTATGGCTCATCTGAGAATCCTGGAAGGAGTAACTTTTATAGGGTTAAAAATAAACTCTAGAGGTTTGTGGTCTGACTTTAATAAGAACTTCTTTTCTAATAAGAATTGTCGAACTCTGTGCTCCAGAGAATGGCCAATGCCTCCGTTTCAATATTTGAAGAATTTATTTGTGTTGCCGTCAATCTTCTTGAAAGGTACTTTATTGGATGGCCTTCTTGCGATAAAATTGCTGACACAGCTTGCTCACTCGTATCCGTAGTTAAAGAAACCTCCTTTTTGAGATAAGTTTTTACAATGGGTTTTTATGGGAGCATCTTTTTTAAATCCTCAAACGCTAAGTTTTATCTATGAATCTATTTGAACTCACTATCAATGGTTCTATGAAGTCACTGTATTTTGGTAGGTATCTATTACAAAAAAAAAACAATCCTAAAAAGACTGAAAATGATTCTTTTACCACAGTTATGGCAAATGTTTCCAAATGCAGGACACTTTTTTGTCAATTTCATGCTCATAATTATAATATTTTTGCGTTACTTTTTTTTTCTCTTAATCCGTGAAGATATTGTATAATTTATTAAATTGTTTCTCTATTTATATTCTTCGGTCGTCATCTTTGTTGCCCTATTTATCACGTTTCGGTCTTGTACGCTCCGGCCTTCTTCAGGTGGTTGGAATGTCGAAGTGAATTCTTTATTTCGCTCGCTGGGGTAAACTGTTCTAGTTCCACGTGCCATGTCTAATGGATGTCAGTTATCAATTATCTTCTGTTAATTTCCCTGTCTTAAGTATTGAACTCACACTCTTTGGTTCCTGTCACTGGATCTAACTAACGCCTTTATTCACTGTGCTATGTGTCCTTGAGGACATCTGTGTATGAATTTCTGGGACTTATAAATCTAATGTCTTCAGCAACCATTTTTAACAGTGCTCATATTGCAATTTTTTGCTTTTATCATTACATATTTTTTTACCGGAGCTCATATTGCAATTTTCGTTGTTATTATTGCTTTTCTCTGGCACTCCTTATTACTGGTTCCCATATTGTATTCAGTTCTATGCTTAGTCGGCTCAGGAGATTTTTGTAGCCTAGCGTATGTGCTGGCTACTTATGTTTACAAATTTTCCAATGATGTTCTTTGTCTATGATTTAAACCTGATCCCACAGAGGGCAGTGATTTCCCTTTTCTCTCCTTATGCGGTCAGCCACGGCTGATTTTTCCATTTCCCCTCGTGTTACAGCTTTTTGATGTTCTTGAAGCCTTACCTTAAGGGAGGGACCTGTCTCCCCTTTATATCTCTTTCCGCAGCTGCATGAGATAGCGTATACACAGTCTTTAGTCATGTTCTCCTTTATGGAGGGGGTCTTACTCGGGAGAGGTATATGCGAAGTGTCGTCCAGCTTTTGAAGATTGTCCTGATGTTATATGGACCGCAGATCCTTTGTATCTTTTTTTTACTCAAATTAAAAATATTGTATTTAAAAAAAAATTAAAAACTTAGTAAAACTATTTAATCTTAGAAATTACTTCTTGCTCGTTGCGTAAAAATAAAAAGGTAGCCATCATGTATCACTTTGTTTATTCCACGTTTTGATAAAACATTTGCTTCCATTTGAAACAAAAGGGCTTTGACGACTGAAAAATTTGAAGCTGCACCGAAGGAAATATAATATAAAAATACCTCCAATTACTCTTTTTCTTAAATTGGACGAAGTACTAATTTGACTACTAAACGAGAAAGAGAGAGAGAGAGAGCAATTTTGACTATAACGACGAAGTAGTAATCTGACGCTTAATTGTCCTCTGCTGAAAAATTCCTATGTCGAATCGGCTACGCCGAATCGGCCACGTCAAATGAGCTACGCCGGAACGTCTCATTCCCATTGCTACTAGATACAGATTTTGATTTAATATTAAAGCAAATATGAAAAAAGCAAAAGTAACATTCAACCTACTGTAGTACTATTAATAGTAATGACATGATTATTGGATACATAAACCCAGGTATAGGGCTATGCATAGATTATTAGTGATTCAACCTGAGATTCAATACACTTGTACGGTAAGCATGAAGTGGTTATTTAAGATTATGAATTTATAATGCTGTTCTTATTACCAGATATTGATAGTTTTCGAATATATAAATGGATAAGATTTTTAATTGTGCAAGTTGAGAAAAGTGTTGAATGTAGTCTTGCCCAGCTATACATAATGAGGCTAGAACTGTGCCACCCATGCCACTAAGCTAGATCTAGGTCTTGTCCGGTAGTTTTGTGAAGCAGCACACAGTAGAGAGTTTGAACTTAGTATTAAGAATAAATATTGTGCGTACAGTCAAATGAAGGACATGTTCATTATGGAAACAGAATTTTTAAATATTTAGGTCTTGTTGTAAGCACACATATAATATAAACCTACATTCTGGTGTGGGACTAAATACTAAATATTTAAGATATATTTTCCAGGTGAATAATTTTTTAGCAGAAATGAAACGTGATGTTTTGAGTGGCGCACAGAAGAAGAAGAGAAGGATAAAATAGGAAAACTTCCAAAATTAACATCGTGTCTCTTATACAGGTGTAACGACAGCGACTTATACCTTTCTTTCAGGTATAGCATCCACATCAACCGCCACTCCTGCAATGTCAGCCAATAGTACTGTTTCTTCAGATATAGCATCCACATCAACCGCCACTCCTGCAATGTCAGCCACTAGTACTGTTCCTTCAGATATAGCATCCACATCAACCCCCACTCCAGCAATGTCAGCCACTAGTACTGTTCCTTCAGATATTTCATCCACATCAACCGCCACTCCTGCAATGTCAGCCACTAGTAGTGTTCCGTCAGATATAGCATCCACATCAACCCCCACTCCTGCAATGTCAGCCACTAGTACTGTTCCTTCAGATATAGCATCAACATCAACCCCCACTCCTGCAATGTCAGCCACTAGTACTGTTCCTTCAGATATAGCATCAACATCAACCCCCAATCCTGCAATGTCAGCCACTAGTACTGTTCCTTCAGATATAGCATCCACATCAATATCCACTCCTGCAATGTCAGCCACTAGTACTGTTCCTTCAGATATAGCATCAACATCAACACCCACTCCTGCAATGTCAGCCACGAGTACTGTTCATTCAGATATAGCATCCACATCAACCCCCATTCCTGCAATGTCAGCCACTAGTACTGTTCCTTCAGATATAGCATCAACATCAACCCGCACTCCTGCAATGTCAGCCACTAGTACTGTTCCTTCAGATATAGCATCCACATCAACCCCCACTCCTGCAATGTCAGCCACTAGTACTGTTCCTTCAGATATAGCATCATCATCAAACCCACTCTTGCAATGTCAGCCACTAGTACTGTTCCTTCAGATATAGCATCAACATCGACCCCCACTCCTGCAATGTCAGCCACTAGTACTGTTCCTTCAGATATAGCATCAACATCGACACCCAGTCCTGCAATGTCAGCCACTAGTACTGTTCCTTCAGATATAGCATCAACATCGACCCCCACTCCTGCAATGTCAGCCACTAGTACTGTTCCTTCAGATATAGCATCAACATCAACCCCACTCCTGCAATGTCAGCCACTAGTACTGTTCCTTCAGATATAGCATCAACATCAACCCCCAATCCTGCAATGTCAGCCACTAGTACTGTTCCTTCAGATATAGCATCAACATCAACCCCCAGTCCTGCAATGTCAGCCACTAGTACTGTTCCTTCAGATATAGCATCAACATCAACCCCCAGTCCTGCAATGTCAGCCACTAGTACTGTTGCTTCAGATATAGCATCAACATCAACCCCCAATCCTGCAATGTCAGCCACTAGTACTGTTGCTTCAACCCCAGATATAGCATCAACATCAACCCCAGTCCTGCAATGTCAGCCACTGGTAATGTTCCTTCAGATATAGCATCAACGTCAACCCCCATTCCTGCAATGTCAGCCACTAGTACTGTTCCTTCAGATATAGCATCAACATCAACCCCCCAATCCTGCAATGTCAGCCACTAGTACTGTTCCTTCAGATATAGCATCAACATCAACCCCCAGTCCTGCAATGTCAGCCACTAGTACTGTTCCTTCAGATATAGCATCAACATCAACCCCCCACTCCTGCAATGTCAGCCACTAGTACTGTTCCTTCAGATATAGCATCAACATCAACCCCCAGTCCTGCAATGTCAGCCACTAGTACTGTTCCTTCAGATATAGCATCAACATCAACCCCCATTCCTGCAATGTCAGCCACTGGTAATGTTCCTTCAGATATAGCATCAACGTCAACCCCCATTCCTGCAATGTCAGCCACTAGTACTGTTCCTTCAGATATAGCATCAACATCAACCCCCAGTCCTGCAATGTCAGCCACTGGTAATGTTCCTTCAGATATAGCATCAACATCAACCCCCAATCCTGCAATGACAGCCACTAGTACTGTTGCTTCAGATATAGCATCAACATCAACCCCCAATCCTGCAATGTCAGCCACTAGTACTGTTCCTTCAGATATAGCATCAACATCAACCCCCAGTCCTGCAATGTCAGCCACTAGTACTGTTCCTTCAGATATAGCATCAACATCAACCCCCAGTCCTGCAATGTCAGCCACTAGTACTGTTCCTTCAGATATAGCATCAACATCAACCCCCAATCCTGCAATGTCAGCCACTAGTACTGTTCCTTCAGATATAGCATCAACATCAACCCCCAGTCCTGCAATGTCAGCCACTAGTACTGTTCCTTCAGATATAGCATCAACATCAACCCCCACTCCTGCAATGTCAGCCACTAGTACTGTTCCTTCAGATATAGCATCAACATCAACCCCCACTCCTGCAATGTCAGCCACTAGTACTGTTCCTTCAGATATAGCATCAACATCAACCCCCAGTCCTGCAATGTCAGCCACTGGTAATGTTCCTTCAGATATAGCATCAACGTCAACCCCCATTCCTGCAATGTCAGCCACTAGTACTGTTCCTTCAGATATAGCATCAACATCAACCCCCAATCCTGCAATGTCAGCCACTAGTACTGTTCCTTCAGATATAGCATCAACATCAACCCCAGTCCTGCAATGTCAGCCACTAGTACTGTTCCTTCAGATATAGCATCAACATCAACCCCACTCCTGCAATGTCAGCCACTAGTACTGTTCCTTCAGATATAGCATCAACATCAACCCCCAGTCCTGCAATGTCAGCCACTAGTACTGTTCCTTCAGATATAGCATCAACAACAACCCCCATTCCTGCAATGTCAGCCACTAGTACTGTTCTTTCAGATATAGCATCATCATCAACCCCCCAATCATGCAATGTCAGCCACTAGTACTGTTGCTTCAGATATAGCATCAACATCAACCCCCACTCCTGCAATGTCAGCCACTTGTACTGTTCCTTCAGATATAGCATCAACATCAACCCCCACTCCTGCAATGTCAGCCACTAGTACTGTTCCTTCAGATATAGTATCCACATCAACCCCCACTCCTGCAATGTCAGCCACTAGTACTGTTCCTTCAGATATAGCATCAACATCAACCCCCAGTCCTGCAATGTCAGCCACTAGTACTATTCCTTCAGATATAACATCAACATCAACCCCCAGTCCTGCAATGTCAGCCACTAGTACTGTTCCTTCAGATATAGCATCAACATCAACCCCCACTCCTGCAATGTCAGCCACTAGTACTGTTCCTTCAGATATAGCATCCACATCAACCCCCACTCATGCAATGTCAGCCACTACTACTGTTCCTTCAGATATAGCATCAACATCAACCCCCCACTCCTGCAATGTCAGCCACGTGTACTGTTCCTTCAGATATTGCATCCACATCAACCCCCACTCCTGCAATGTCAGCCACTAGTACTGTTCCTTCAGATATAGCATCAACATCAACCCCCCACTCCTGCAATGTCAGCCACGAGTACTGTTCCTTCAGATATAGCATCCACATCAACCCCCACTCCTGCAATGTCAGCCACTAGTACTGTTCCTTCAGATATAGCATCAACATCAACCCCCACTCCTGCAATGTCAGCCACGAGTACTGTTCCTTCAGATATAGCATCAACATCAACCCCCACTCCTGCAATGTCAGCCACTAGTACTGTTCCTTCAGATATAGCATCAACATCAACACCCACTCCTGCAATGTCAGCCACGAGTACTGTTCATTCAGATATAGCATCCACATCAACACCCACTCCTGCAATGTCAGCCACGAGTACTGTTCATTCAGATATAGCATCCACATCAACCCCCATTCCTGCAATGTCAGCCACTAGTACTGTTCCTTCAGATATAGCATAACCATCAACCCCCACTCCTGCAATGTTGGCCACTAGTACTGTTCCTTCAGATATAGCATAACCATCAACCCCACTCCTGCAATGTTGGCCACTAGTACTGTTCCTTCAGATATAGCATCCACATCAACCCCCACTCCTGCAATGTCAGCCACTAGTACTGTTCCTTCAGATATAGCATCAACATCAACACCCACTCCTGCAATGTCAGCCACTAGTACTGTTCCTTCAGATATAGCATCAACATCAACACCCACTCCTGCAATGTCAGCCACGAGTACTGTTCATTCAGATATAGCATCCACATCAACACCCCCACTCCTGCAATGTCAGCCACGAGTACTGTTCATTCAGATATAGCATCCACATCAACCCCCATTCCTGCAATGTCAGCCACTAGTACTGTTCCTTCAGATATAGCATCAACATCAACCCCACTCCTGCAATGTCAGCCACTAGTAATGTTCCTTCAGATATAGCATCCACATCAACCCCCAATCCTGCAATGTCAGCCACTAGTACTGTTCCTTCAGATATAGCATCCACATCAACCCCCCACTCCTGCAATATCAGCAATGTACTAGTACTGTTCCTTCAGATATAGCATCAACATCAACCCCCCACTCCCTGCAATGTTGGCCACTAGTACTGTTCCTTCAGATATAGCATCCACATCAACCCCCACTCCTGCAATGTCAGCCACTAGTACTGTTCCTTCAGATATAGCATCAACATCAACCCCAGTCCTGCAAATGTCAGCCACTAGTACCATTCCTTCAGATATAACATCAACATCAATCCCCAGTCCTGCAATGTCAGCCACTAGTACTGTTCCTTCAGATATAGCATCAACATCAACCCCCACTCCTGCAATGTCAGCCACTAGTACTGTTCCTTCAGATATAGCATCCACATCAACCCCCACTCATGCAATGTCAGCCACTACTACTGTTCCTTCAGATATAGCATCAACATCAACCCCCACTCCTGCAATGTCAGCCACGTGTACTGTTCCTTCAGATATTGCATCCACATCAACCCCCACTCCTGCAATGTCAGCCACTAGTACTGTTCCTTCAGATATAGCATCAACATCAACCCCCACTCCTGCAATGTCAGCCACGAGTACTGTTCCTTCAGATATAGCATCCACATCAACCCGCACTCCTGCAATGTCAGCCACTAGTACTGTTCCTTCAGATATAGCATCAACATCAACCCCCACTCCTGCAATGTCAGCCACGAGTACTGTTCCTTCAGATATAGCATCAACATCAACCCCCACTCCTGCAAATGTCAGCCACTAGTACTGTTCCTTCAGATATAGCATCAACATCAATGTTGGCCACACTGTTCCTGCAATGTCAGCCACGAGTACTGTTCATTCAGATATAGCATCCACATCAACACCCACTCCTGCAATGTCAGCCACGAGTACTGTTCATTCAGATATAGCATCCACATCAACCCCCATTCCTGCAATGTCAGCCACTAGTACTGTTCCTTCAGATATAGCATAACCATCAACCCCCACTCCTGCAATGTTGGCCACTAGTACTGTTCCTTCAGATATAGCATAACCATCAACCCCCACTCCTGCAATGTTGGCCACTAGTACTGTTCCTTCAGATATAGCATCCACATCAACCCCCACTCCTGCAATGTCAGCCACTAGTACTGTTCCTTCAGATATAGCATCAACATCAACACCCACTCCTGCAATGTCAGCCACTAGTACTGTTCCTTCAGATATAGCATCAACATCAACACCCACTCCTGCAATGTCAGCCACGAGTACTGTTCATTCAGATATAGCATCCACATCAACACCCACTCCTGCAATGTCAGCCACGAGTACTGTTCATTCAGATATAGCATCCACATCAACCCCCATTCCTGCAATGTCAGCCACTAGTACTGTTCCTTCAGATATAGCATCAACATCAACCCCCACTCCTGCAATGTCAGCCACTAGTAATGTTCCTTCAGATATAGCATCCACATCAACCCCCAATCCTGCAATGTCAGCCACTAGTACTGTTCCTTCAGATATAGCATCCACATCAACCCCCACTCCTGCAATATCAGCCTCTAGTACTGTTCCTTCAGATATAGCATCAACATCAACCCCCACTCCTGCAATGTTGGCCACTAGTACTGTTCCTTCAGATATAGCATCAACCCCCATCCTGCAAAGCCACTAGTACTGTTCCCCAACATCATCCCCACTCCTGCAATGTTGGCCACTAGTACTGTTCCTTCAGATATAGCATCAACATCAACCCCCACTCCTGCAATGTCAGCCACTAGTACTGTTCCTTCAGATATAGCATCAACATCAACCACCACTCCTGCAATGTTGGCCACTAGTACTGTTCCTTCAGATATAGCATCCACATCAACCCCCACTCCTGCAATGTTGGCCACTAGTACTGTTCCTTCAGATATAGCATCCACATCAACCCCTACTCCTGCAATGTTGGCCACTAGTACTGTTCCTTCAGATATAGCATCCACATCAACCCCCACTCCTGCAATGTCAGCCACTAGTACTGTTCCTTCAGATATAGCATCCACATCAACCCCCACTCCTGCAATGTCAGCCACTAGTACTGTTCCTTCAGATATAGCATCAACATCAACCCCCAGTCCAGCAATGTCAGCCACTAGTACTGTTCCTTCAGATATAGCATCAACATCAACCCCCAGTCCTGCAATGTCAGCCACTAGTACTGTTCCTTCAGATATAGCATCCACATCAACCCCCATTCCTGCAATGTCAGCCACTAGTACTGTTCCTTCAGATATAGCATCAACATCAATCCCCCGTCCTGCAATGTCGGCCACTAGTACTGTTCCTTCAGATATAGCATCAACATCAACCCCCAATCCTGCAATGTCGGCCACTAGTACTGTTCCTTCAGATATAGCATCCACATCAACCCCCACTCCTGCAATGTCAGCCACTAGTACTGTTCCTTCAGATATAGCATCAACATCAACCCTCACTCCTGCAATGTCAGCCACTAGTACTGTTCCTTCAGATATAGCATCAACATCAACCCCCACTCCTGCAATGTCAGCCACTAGTACTGTTCCTTCAGATATAGCATCAACATCAACCCCAGTCCTGCAATGTCAGCCACTAGTACTGTTCCTTCAGATATAGCATCCACATCAACCCTAGTACTGTTCCTTCATTCCTGCAATGTCAGCCACTAGTACTGTTCCTTCAGATATATCATCAACATCAACCCCCCAGTCCTGCAATATCAGCCACTGGTAATGTTCCTTCAGATATAGCATCAACATCTACCCCATTCCTGCAATGTCAGCCACTAGTACTGTTCCTTCAGGTATAGCATCAACATCAACCCCCAATCCTGCAATGTCAGCCACTAGTACTGTTGCTTCAGATATAGCATCAACATCAACCCCCAGTCCTGCAATGTCAGCCACTAGTACTGTTCCTTCAGATATAGCATCAACATCAACCCCCACTCCTGCAATGTCAGCCACTAGTACTGTTCCTTCAGATATAGCATCAACATCAACCCCCAGTCCTGCAATGTCAGCCACTAGTACTGTTCCTTCAGATATAGCATCAACATCAACCCCATTCCTGCAATGTCAGCCACTAGTACTGTTCCTTCAGATATAGCATCAACATCAACCCCCCAATCCTGCAATGTCAGCCACTAGTACTGTTGCTTCAGATATAGCATCAACATCAACCCCCAGTCCTGCAATGTCAGCCACTAGTACTGTTCCTTCAGATATAGCATCAACATCAACCCCCATTCCTGCAATGTCAGCCACTAGTACTGTTCCTTCAGATATAGCATCAACATCAACCCCCAATCCTGCAATGTCAGCCACTAGTACTGTTGCTTCAGATATAGCATCAACATCAGCCCCCACTCCTGCAATGTCAGCCACTAGTACTGTTCCTTCAGATATAGCATCAACATCAACCCCCACTCCTGCAATGTCAGCCACTAGTACTGTTCCTTCAGATATAGCATCAACATCAACCCCCAGTCCTGCAATGTCTGCCACTAGTACTGTTCCTTCAGATATAGCATCAACATCAACCCCCAGTCCTGCAATGTCAGCCACTAGTACTGTTCCTTCAGATATAGCTTCAACATCGACCCCCACTCCTGCAATGTCAGCCACTAGTACTGTTCCTTCAGATATAGCATCAACATCAACCCCCACTCCTGCAATGTCAGCCACTAGTACTGTTCCTTCAGATATAGCATCAATATCAACCCCCAATCCTGCAATTTCAGCCACTAGTACTGTTCCTTCAGATATAACATCAACATCAACCCCCACTCCTGCAATGTCAGACACTAGTACTGTTCCTTCAGATATAGCATCAACATCAACCCCCAGTCCTGCAATGTCAGCCACTAGTACTGTTGCTTCAGATATAACATCAACATCAACCCCCAATCGTGCAATGTCAGCCACTAGTACTGTTGCTTCAGATATAGCATCAACATCAACCCCCAGTCCTGCAATGTCAGCCACTAGTACTGTTCCTTCAGATATAGCATCCACATCAACCCCCAGTCCTGCAATATCAGCCACTGGTAATGTTCCTTCAGATATAGCATCAACATCTACCCCCATTCCTGCAATGTCAGCCACTAGTACTGTTCCTTCAGGTATAGCATCAACATCAACCCCCAATCCTGCAATGTCAGCCACTAGTACTGTTGCTTCAGATATAGCATCAACATCAAATCCCCCAGTCCTGCAATGTCAGCCACTAGTACTGTTCCTTCAGATATAGCATCAACATCAACCCCCACTCCTGCAATGTCAGCCACTAGTACTGTTCCTTCAGATATAGCATCAACATCAACCCCCAATCCTGCAATGTCAGCCACTAGTACTGTTCCTTCAGATATAGCATCAACATCAACCCCCATTCCTGCAATGTCAGCCACTAGTACTGTTCCTTCAGATATAGCATCAACATCAACCCCCAATCCTGCAATGTCAGCCACTAGTACTGTTGCTTCAGATATAGCATCAACATCAGATATGGCGTAACCCCCCACTCCTGCAATGTCAGCCACTAGTACTGTTCCTTCAGATATAGCATCAACATCAACCCCCACTCCTGCAATGTCAGCCACTAGTACTGTTCCTTCAGATATAGCATCAACATCAACCCCCAGTCCTGCAATGTCAGCCACTAGTACTGTTCCTTCAGATATAGCATCAACATCAACCCCCAGTCCTGCAATGTCAGCCACTAGTACTGTTCCTTCAGATATAAAATCAACATCAACCCCCAGTCCTGCAATGTCAGCCACTAGTACTGTTCCTTCAGATATAGCATCAACATCAACCCCCACTCCTGCAATGTCAGCCACTATTACTGTTCCTTCAGATATAGCATCTGCATCTACATCCATTCCCGCTACCCATTATCATGCTTCAGCAGACATAACATCATTGCCTGTAGCAGCTGCTGCAGTTGGCATTTTTAAAAAAGGAAATACCCAAATCTGTAACAGTAAAGGAGTTTGCAATCCAAGAGACAGATCTGGGACTATGGAGCATTAATGATACTAACACAATAGATTACTGGATTCGTAGTGGACCTTCATCATGTCCGATTCTTGGCAGTAACCTTTCAAACTCATACAGATGGAGTAGAGAATATGAAGGCAAGGTATTTATCAAACAATCTATTCAAATGGGAACTGTGGAATGACGAATGTGTAAAACGTAAATGCCTACTCCATTCACCATCCGAAGGTCGTTTGTACTGTTTTGTATATCGCCTATTGTCCAAGAAAGAATCTCCCTTTGCTACATTAGGGTTCAGTGACTGGAAGCACAGCAATGTTATTGTAGAAACATCGAAAGTGCATGACAGCATATTTGATAAGGTATAAAGAAACTGGAAGTGTACATTCTTTATTAATTGAGCAACATGGCTCAGAGCAGGAATATTGGTATAAAGTTTTGGCAGTTATGGTTTCTATAATTCGAATTCTTGCCTCCAGATGTTCGCCATTTCGTGAAGAAAATCAGATTTTTGGGTCAGCAAAAATAGCAACTATATAGGTATACTAGAGCTGCTGAGTGAATCTGAATATTTCTTGGAAGAACATCTCAAAATGTGTGGAAATCCTAGAAAGGGGTATCCGTCATATTTATCTGCAAATATTTGTGAAGCATTTACAGAATTAATGGGTCAACAGGTTCTTTGTACTCTTCTTGAAGAAGTAAAAGAGTCAAATAAGTGTAGATTCCACTCCAGACATCTCACACACAGATCAAATGACGTTTACTGTCCGACATATTAAAGGCTGTGAGCTTGTGGAACGTTTCTTGATGTTCCTCTCCATCTTTTCTCTTGGAGCAAAGAATCTAACAGACACTGTTGTGAATTTCCTTATTGTGACAAAAATTCCTTTATAAAACTGCCGTGGTCAGTCATACAATAATGCCTCAAATATGTCCTGACGATATACTGGATTGTATGCACGAATTCATCACTCAATGAGTTTGTCATCTATGTCCCTCGTGCTGGACATAGCCTGAACCTGGTGGAAGTAAAAGCAACAGAGTGTTGTCTACAGACTGTAAAATTCTTTGACTTTGTTCAGTATCTGTATTCACTTTTTGCTGGTTCTACTCACCGCTGAAATGTATTGACATCGTCTCTAGGAAAAGATTTTGTCTGGCACAAAATGGTCAGCATATTTTGATTCTATTCATGCTCTGTATGGGGTTTTCGAGAATATAAAACATGCAATGGGTTCTCTATCAGCTGACAATGAACGGCAAGTGAATACAAAGCGAGAGGCAGAAGAATTAAGCAAAAAAAAAATGGAAAATGTGGCAACAGTCTTTCCCACAATTCTTTGGAATGTATGCTGGAAAGAATGAACAAAACAAGCAAGGCCCTGCAATCAAACAATGTGAACACGAATCTTCTTGGGTCTATGAAAACCTATCTTTAGGAAACTAGAGACAGATTTAGTGAATATGAATTCAAAGCCAGGAGTATGTGTCTGGATACAGATTACAGTGATGACAAAAAAAAACTGGAACAAAAACGATGTATGCGTCTTAATAGATGCGATTGATCAGAAGAAAAGGTACTTCTCAGTGAAATCGAAAAGTTCAAGGTGGAAACTTTCATCCCTATTCTGAACACATTAATCTTTTAACTGTCAAAACGTCCAGAGACTTAATCGCAGATTGGAAACCTGTTTTCATTCTTTTAGTAAATTGATAACCATTGCTTCTGATGCACTAAAGAAATAGTGTGAACAACTGGCTAAGACGTGTCACAAAGACTTGAATTACGACGACCTTTTAAATGAATGTGAGCATCTCAAGCTCTTTATGAAAATTGTACGACACTCCGTGCACTGTACAGAAAAATAATTTCGGGAAATTTGAAATCTGTATACCTGAATGTTAAAATTGCACTCAGAGTGTTCATGTGCATGATGGTGATCAACTGTACAGGAGAACGTTCTTTTTCAAGACTGAAATTTATAAAAAAAAAAATCTGCTTCGTAGCACAAGGGGGCAGCATCGTTTGAACTAGCTTTCACTCATGTGCATAGAAAATGACATCCTATTCGTGAAGATCATTGATTTCAAGCCAATAATAAAGCAATTCTCCGAGAAGAAATGCCGTAAATGCTTGTTATAAGAAGTTCGTAGTAATTTTTTACTGTGCCATTTAATCTTTGGCTTACTGAGTATTATTGAGTATTTCAAGCCTTGTGTATTGTTCAAATGTTTATCATATTGATTAGTTGCTGCCGTACAGCATATTTTTCATGTTTTAACACCAGTTTTGTTGAAGTGCCAAATATATGTTTAATATTATCGACCATTTAATTTTTATTCTTGTGGGTGGTTGTTATAGGGGCACCAGCATATTGGTTTTCCCAGGGCCCACAATGCTGTTAAGAACGCCCTGCTCTAACCTGAGTTGCAGAACAATGGATCCAAGTTTCGACAAATTCTGGTTTGTCCAAGCGATTTAAAGATCCTATCGGCGACGTCGTATTGTTGTATAGTGTTGTTCTACACGTGATCAGTAGTCAAATTTCTGTCGTCTGACTCTTTACTCTACTTTATTTATCCTATAACCAAATATATGCAAATAGGTAGAATCCTATACAAAATAAATCTCCAGCGAAAAAAAAAAAACAATTCTCTCAAAGTAAATGAAGTAAAATTGCTATTCCTATTTTCCAAATTTGACACTGTTCCTTGTATCAGAAAGGAATTCAAAATAGATCAACAAGAAAGACTCTGTAACGGGATTGATGAGTTGCGGTTATTAAATTAAACACCCCGTTGTTATATGCATTTGCAGCTGATAGAGGATTATTTTTCTCTATTTTTTACTGAAAATGAAATGAATAAGACGTGCAACAATAACATAAACAATAAGATGTTGAGACACGTATTTAGATTGATGACAAGAATGTTTATTTTTCTTTTCGTGATGTTAATTACAATATTAGTATTGTGTTTGTTAAAAAATTTTCTCAGTGTTAATATCTCCTTTGTTTCTTTAAAGTTTCTGCTTACTTGTCGATTTTCACGTAGCGGTGGTGATACATCTGTGTTATTCATCTTTACTACTGCTACTGCTACTACTCGTGGTGGAAAGGTCGTTTTTATAATGATGAAGTTTCAGATTTTTGGAATGATGAAATATTTGATCTTTATTTCCAAGATGATGAAATATCCTTACCAATCATCACAGGTGGAAAGGTCGTTTTTAGAATGATGAAATATTATCATCATTCTGGATCAAAACAAGTCACGCTCAAGCACTTGCATATTTGTATCATATAACGTTGAGGATCTGTGTTAAATACGATACTTGAATGCCTCATTTTTCTTATTTAAACGCCAGACTGGGATGTAGTCATCATCAAACTCTTATTGCAGCCATATTTTTTTTTTGTTGCTTCGCAGTTTTGTTTTTCCTTGAATATTTTCTAGGAGCTATTCCAATAATTTGATATCTGTGAAAGCATTTTTGGCAAAGTGTATAATAATCGACTTTGCAGAAAGCATTGTCTTCGACATGAATATATTCTATTAATTTTACCACACAAAACACAACCAAGAGCTCGCAATAATGCTCTAGTTTAAAATCATCCACTTTGAAGTGATCTACACTTATTACATTACTAGTCCAAAACATTACTCCATCTCCCCATTGTTCTCTTTCAAATTGTGTTGGTTAACTATTTTCATTAAAATAAATTCAACCTCTCACCCAGTTATATGGCCAAAGCAATGAAGTTCTAGACTCATTACTAAAAATTACTGTTAAAAAAATCAGTTTTCATTCACTACTTCGTTCAACATAAGTTTCTCTTTATGGGGTATTATGGTGAAGTATGCAGTATTGCCTCATACTAACATCGGTCCCCGCTGTAACACTATAAATTGTCACTGGTAGTAGTTGAAAGGAACGTGACACTGGTAATATGAAATTAGGATTAAAAGGCTTCATGTGAAAACCCCGTATAAGAATTAGAGAATTGGAATGGTTAAAACGTTACAAACGTTAAGGTGAAAACATAAATTGAAATATGGAACACAGAAAAAAAAAAAGAACTTTTTGTCCTTTCTAATAATCAAAAACGCCGAATAGAATGTTGGTTCCAAAATTTAGTTTGAAAAATGTAAAATATAAGCAGAAAGATAAATGGAATTGTTATGAATTCGCAAATGTAGAGTGTCGTTCTGTAAATATGCAAAATGAGCAGAAAATTATATGGGTCA